CCCCCCCCCCCCCCCCCCCCCCCCCCCCCCCCCCCCCCCCCCCCAAAAAGTGTCTGGTTTTTTTGTTGTTAAGTTGTAAGTCTGGAGACTGAGGGAGTGTATGGTGGATGTGTTGTAATTTCAGTTAATGAAATGTGTAAGTGTAGATAAATTAGAGATGATAAATCTTATTTGGGAGTAATCAAAATGATATTTTGGAAGTGCTTCAGTGTTGTTTGGAAATGTTCAGAGGTGTTTATGTGAGTATTCAAATGATTTATGAGAGTGTTCGAAGTAATCTTGGGGTTTTTCTGTAGTGAGATGATAAAGGTTGTCGATGAGAGAATATTTCTTAAGAGATATTGAGAAAAGGTGGTCTCAAATGATGTATGAGAGTGTTTTGAAGGTGTTCAAAGTAAAGTGAGGTGTGTGTGTGTGTGTGTGTGTGTGTGTGTGTGTGTGTGTGTGTGTGTGTGTGTGTGTGTGTGTGTGTTGTGTGTGTGTGTGTGTGTGTGTGTGTGTGTGTGTATGTGTGTGTGTGCGTGCGTGTGCAATACAGTCACAAACATACTAACTAGACAATGCAAGACAAGCCATGCGGGTTGGAAATCTTCAGCTCAAGATCTTTCACACGTCTCCGTGTGTTATCAGGAGCTATGCAATGTTGCAACAGCACCACAGGTAGACTGAGGGAAAGTTTTATTAGAGGGAGGGTAACTTCTCGAGGAAGAGGCAGAAACATATTTTCGTGTATACCAGGCAGGTAGTGTACACCAGAATAGAGGTTTACACTATACAGGTGGTGTATATCTATCAGGAGGTTTACATCAGAAAGGTTATGTACACCAGACAGGTGGTTTACATCAGACAGGTGGTTTACACCTCACAGGTTGTTTATGCCAAACAGGTTGTTAACACCAGAGAAATGTGTACACTACACAGCAGGTGTGCACCACTCAAGTAGTTTACACCAGACAGGAGGTTAACCCCAGACAGGTGGTTTGCACCAGGCAGGTGGTATGCACCAGACAGGTGGTGTACACCACTTAAGACACACTGATCACATTCATCAACTATTCTAAGCCACCCTTCACCCTTATTATTATTATTATTATTATTATTAGTATTAGTAGTAGTAGTAGTAGTAGAAGTATTGGTAATAATAATAATAATAATAATAATAATAATAATAATAATAATAATAATAATTATAATAGAAGTAGCAGCAGCAATAGTAGTAGTAGTAGTAGTAGTATTACTATCACTAATATTATTTATTTTATCTTTAAGTGAAATGATGTGTAACAGGTGAGTAGTGATCGGATGTCTTTGCAGGTGACATGTGTGACATGTGTGAGTAGGTATCTGATAGATGAGTAGGTGACCTGATGAGCTAGTAGGTGACCTGATGAGCTAGTAGGTGACCTGATGAGCTAGTAGGTGACCTGATGAGCTAGTAGGTGACCTGATGAGCTAGTAGGTGACCTGATGAGCTAGTAGGTGATCTGACGTACAAGTAGGAAAACTTGCATAGTAGTAAGTGACTTGACACTAAAGTAGTTGACCTGGTATTACAGCACATAATATAACGTGGGAAGAGGTGACCTGGTGTTATTTTTTTTCAGCCCTCTTTTTTTCAGTCCCGTAGGACGGTGGCTAAAGCTCTCGCTTCACACTGCGAGTGTCTGGGTTCGACTCCAAGGGAGGGTAGAAACATTGAGCGTGTTTCTTTATATCGGTTGTCTATGTTCACCAATCAGTAAAATGGGTACCTGGGAATTAGTCGACTGGTGTGGGTCGCATCCTGGGACAAAACTGACGTATGCATAACAAGCGGCTTTCTATATAGTAGTATGTCATTGATGTCAGCCAGGCCTGTATACCTTGTACAGGTACTTGTATTAAATAAAGATATAATAATAATAATAATAATAATAATAATAATAATAATAATAATAATAATAATAATAATATTATTATTTATTATTATTATTATTATTATTTTATTATTATTACTATTATTTATTTTATTTTTGTTATTATTATTATTATTATTATTATCATCAACATCATCATCATTATTATTACATACTAAAAGAGTGGCCGCCATGTTCCTCTTCACTTCAGCAAAATTTATTTTCTGATTCAAACCTTTCCGCACGCAGAACGAAAATGTTGTCAGTGGGGGGTTTGTCAATTTTGGTGCTGTCATTGGTGGTGGCAGAGGACGCTCCCCTCGTGTCAACCGAGGAGGGCTGGATCTCCGGGGTACGTCAGACGAGCACAAAGGGCAGGGAACTGTATGCTTACCACAGCATCCCATTTGCCCAGCCTCCTCTCAACCACCTCAGGCTCAAGGTAATTACTCATTCCCCGAGGTGTACATACATTCACATGCACATACATACAAACAGACATACACAGACACCGACAGACAGACAGACAGACAGACAGACACACACACACACACACACACACACACACACACACAACACACACACACACACAGCATGGTTTCAGGGACGGGAAATCCTGTGTCACAAACCTACTGGAGTTCTATGACATGGTGACAGCAGTAAGACAAGAGAGAGAGGGGTGGGTGGATTGCATTTTCTTGGACTGCAAGAAGGCGTTTGACACAGTTCCACACAAGAGATTGGTGCAAAAACTGGAGGACCAAGCAGGGATAACGGGGAAGGCACTACAATGGATCAGGGAATACTTGTCAGGAAGACAGCAGCGAGTCATGGGTACGTGGCGAGGTGTCAGAGTGGGCACCTGTGACCAGCGGGGTTCCCCGCAGGGGTCAGCCCTAGGACCAGTGCTGTTTCTGGTATTTGTGAACGACATGACGGAAGGAATAGACTCTGAGGTGTCCCTGTTTGCAGATTGACGTGAAGTTGATGAGAAAGAATACACTCGATCGAAGACCAGGCAGAACTACAAAGGGATTCTGGACAGGCTGCAGACCTGGTCCAGCAATTGGCTCCTGGAGTTCAATCCACCAAGTGCAAAGTCATGAAGATTGGGGGAAGGGCAAAGAAGGCCGCAGACGGGAGTACAGTCTAGGGGGTAGAGACTACAAACCTCACTCAAGGAAAAAGATCTTGGGTGAGTATAACACCAGGCACATTCCTGAAGCGCACATCAACCCAAAAAACTGCTGCAGCATATGGGCGCCTAGCAAACCTCAGAACAGCATTTTCCCACATCTTAATAAGGAAACGTTCAGGACCCTGTACACCGTATACTTTAGGCCCCTATTGGAGTATGCGGCACCAGTTTGGAACCCACACCTAGCCAAGCACGTAAAGAAACTAAAAGAAAGTGCAAAGGTTTGCAACAAGATAGTCCCAGAGCTAAGAGGTATGGGCCTACGAGGAGAGGTTAAGGGAAATCAACCTGACGACACTGGGGACAGGAGAGATAGGGGGGACATGATAACGACATACAAAAATACTGAGAGGAATTGACAAGGTGGACAAAGACAGGGTGTTCCAGAGATTGGACACAGTAACAAGGGGGGACACAGTTGGAAGCTGAAGACACAGATGAATCACGGGGGATGTTAGGAAGTATTTCTTCAGCCACAGAGTAGTCAGTAAGTGGAATAGTTTGGGAAGCGATGTATGGAGGCAGGATCCATACATAGCTTTAAGCAGAGGTATGATAAAGCTCACGGCTCAGGGAGATGTGACCTAGTAGCGATCAGTGAAGGGCGGGGCCAGGAGTCGGACTCGACCCCGCAACCTCAACTAGGTGAGTACAACTAGGTGAGTATTACACACACACACACACACACACACACACCACACACACACACACACACACACACACCACACACACACACACAAACCAGGCAGAACTATAAAGGGATCTGGACAGGCTGCAGACCTGGTCCAGCAATTGGCTCCTGGATTTCAACCCCACCAAGTGCAAAGTCATGAAAATTGGGGAAGGGCAAAGAAGACCGCAGACGGAGTACAGTCTAGGGGGGCCAGAGACTACAAACCTCACTCAAGGATAAAGGTCTTGGGGTGAGTATAACACCAGGCACATCTCCTGAAGCGCATATCAACCAAATAACTGCTGCAGCATATGGGCGCCTAGCAATCTCAGAACAGCATTCCGACATCTTAATAAGGAATCGTTCAGGACCCTGTACACCGTGTACGTTAGGCCCATATTGGAGTATGCGGCACCAGTTTGGAACCCACACCTAGCCAAGCACGTAAAGAAACTAGAGAAAGTGCAAAGGTTTGCAACAAGACTAGTTCCAGAGCTAAGAGGTATGTCCTACGAGGAGAGGTTAAGGGAAATCAACCTGACTTCACTGGAGGACAGGAGAGATAGGGGGGTCATGATAACGACATACAAAATACTGAGAGGAATTGACAAGGTGGACAAAGACAGGATGTTCCAGAGATGGGACACAGCAACAAGGGGACACAGTTGGAAGTTGAAGACACAGATGAATCACAGTGATGTTAGGAAGTATTTCTTCAGCCACAGAGTAGTCTGAAAGTGGAATAGTTTGGGAAGCGATGTAGTGGAGGCAGGATCCATACATAGCTTTAAGCAGAGGTATGATAAAGCTCACGGTTCAGGGAGAGTGACCTAGTAACGACCAGTGAAGAGGCGGGGTCGGGAGCTTGGACTCGACCCCTGAAATCTCAACTAGGTGAGTGCTGTGTACGTCAGGCCCACACTGGAGTACACAGCACCAGTTTGGAACCCACACCTTGTCAAGCACGTCAAGAATTTTGAGAAAGTGCAAAGGTTTGCAACAAGGCTGGTTCCAGAGCTAAGGGGAATGTCCTACGAACAAAGGTTAAGGGAAATCGGTCTGACGACACTGAAGGATAGGAGGGATGGGAGAGACATGATAACGACATAAAAATACTGCATGGAATAGATAAGGTAGACAGAGACAGGAAGTTTCAGAGATGGGACACAGAAACAACTGGAAGTTGAAGACCCAGATGAGTCAAAGGGTGTTATGACTACGGTCATTTGTAGCTTGCTTTATATAGAATGTTTATGTATTGTCCACTTAATATTATACTCGGGATTTCTTTAATATTAGCTAAATTAAAGATTCCACTAGTTTATAATATTATTATGGTTATACCCGGGTATGATGTGTGTGTATGTATGTGCGCACGTATAAATATATATTATATATATATATGTATATATATATAATATTATATTTATATATATATATATATATATATATATATATATATATATATATATATATATATATATATTATATATATAAATTAGATAGATAGATAGATAGATAGCAATGTGTTAGGTTGGTAACACGGCTAAGGTTTATAACGAGGTATGGCCTTGGTGGGTTGTTCAGGCTGCTCTACCCTCTCCCCTTTGACGAGTTGACGTCATAAACAGATTTACCATACACAAATAACCCGCACATAAAGACAAAGCTTACGACGACGTTTTGGTCCGACTTGGACCATTGACAAAGTCACAGTGTGACTTTGTCAATGGTCCAAGTCGGACCGAAACGTCGTCGTAAGCTTCTGTCTTTTATGTGCGGGTTATTTGTGTATCGTTCCAGTCACGGTATTGTGCCTTTTTGTTATTTAGAGATTTACCATGTAAGTTCAGTTCACCCTCACTGTTGACTCGTTGAATAGTGTCTTAGCAGACCTACTACTCCAGTACTGTTCTTTCTTGGTGTCTTAGAGAGTCTAGTTTAGAAACTCCTGAACTGGCTTGAGTTGGGAATTCTGTGGTGAAGTCAGTAGACAGTCATATCCAGATATTTTCGGTATACGATGTGATTACCTGTGTCGTGGGTAGAGTTCCAAGCGATTGAAGGTGTTAATTTATGGCTGATAAAACCTGTACTATTGTATATATACAACTTAGTATTTTTAGGTTACTGAAAGAATCTGACTTAGTATTGCTTATTAGACATTTACAAATATCCAAGAAGTATTAAAGCTTTTAATAACAAAAAAACAGAAAATGCTGAGTAACTCTTATTTGTGCCTTATGTTTCTAAGTCTGCAAGTTCCTTCTTATCCTTGGAAGTGATTTTGTTATGGAGAGCACTATCCTGGCCAAAGACTAAGATTCAAACAGTAGCAAGTGGGGGCCTGTCCGGGATCTGAACCCGGAACCTCCTGCATCCAAAGCAGGAATCATACCCCTAGGAAGTATTTCTTATGCCACAGAGTTGTTAGGAAGTGCAACAGTCTGGCAAGTGTAGTGTAGTGGAGGCAGGAACCATACACAGTTTTAAGATGAGGTATCTTAAAGCTCATGGAGCAGGGAGACGGAGGACCCAGTAGTGGTGAGTGAAGAGGCAGGGCCAGGAGCTGAGTCTCGACCCCTGCAATCACAATTAGGTGAGTACATTTAGGTGAGTACACACACACATCTTCCCTCCTTCCTTCCTCAGCCTGGATGCCTGGTCCTTGACTATTGTTTTCCTCCTGATATGGCTGTACAACAGCCACACAAACACGTGTGTGTGTGTGTGTGTGTGTGTGTGTGTGTGTGTGTACACCTGCTCATTAATGCAAATATTTAATCAGCCCATCATGTGGCAGTACATCAGTGCCTATTAGCACGTAGACTTATCAAGGGGTTTTGTGTTTGTTTAGACCAAACATCAGAATGGGAAAGAAATGTGATCTCAATGATTTTGACTATGGAATGATTGCTGGTACCTGTCGTGGGGAAGGGATAGGGGGATTTGATAACGACATATAAAATACTGAGAGGAACTGATAAGATGAACAAGGGCAAAAAGTTTCAGAGATGGGATTGAAAGGCAAGAGGACAGAACTGGAAGTTGAAATCTCAGATATGTAATGGGGCTGTAAAGATGTATTTCTTCTGACCTAGGGTTGTCAGAAAGTCGAACAATCTGTAGAGTGAAGCATTACTGGCGGGTCCTTACGTAGCTTTAAGAAGAGGTACGATAAGGCTCTTGGAGGAGGGAGGGAGTGGACCTAGTAGTGGCCAGCGAAGAGACAGGGCAGAGAGTTGTGAATCGACCCCTGCAATCACGTAATGGTGAGCGCACGCCCACAAGCACAAATACACACGTGCACACACGCATGTACAACTGGCCTAGTGTCTAATCGACATGTGCCTAGGACAAAATGGTAACTAACACACACGTAAATACACAGACAAAGACACACACATACACACACATACACATGCACACACACAAACAAAGTGTGCTAGAGAATGGAAAAAGTACAAAGGCAAAGGACCCAGGAAAATAAAGAGAATAATCGACGAGCCAGAAACAAGTATGCACAGATAAGGAGGGAGGCCCAGCGGCAGTACGAAAACGAAATAGCATC